AGAGCGGTGTTTGGGCGGCAAACATGGCCCGTGGGGAGCCAGAGAAGCATGGTTTCTGGGAAGGGTGTGGAGCGGCAGTTGAACCCGGCCCGGAGCTGCATACTCACTCTGGCCACCCCTCAAAGGTGGAGACGGTGAACAGGGCCATCATAGCTGCCAGGACGTTGTCAAAGTCAAACTTGCTGTTCTCCCAGCTGCGGGGCTGGATGATGGGGTGATCCACCTCCCCGTCCTTGTATGTGACGTAGTTCCCCCTGAGGAAGGGAGAAAGGGCTCGTTCTGGGGTCTCCCACCTCCCCTCAGCCTACCCACCAGTGCCTCCTGGCTTGGGGGTGGGATGAAACTGGCTAAGCTTAAACCCAGAGTTCCAGCCGCTGGGAAGATGTCAGGGGTGGAATATTCAGGAACAGATGATCTTACGTGTTACGTCAATGAGACCAGACAACCCGTGGGTAAAAGTGCAGCCACCACTGCTGTCAGAGAAAGAATGGGCCACCACTCCTCTTAGGACAAGTCACCAACCACCTGGAGTCAACCAGCCTGGCTGCCCCCCCGGCCGTACTCACTTGCATTCGGCCTCCGTCTGTTTGGAACTGTCCGAACAGGTGTAGAGCTTGCCCTGGAAGGTGGAAGAGCAAAGTGACTGGAGATGCTCCTTAATCGAGGGACCAGTCAAAAACCGATTAGTGATATCTCTGTAGCCAGCTCTGCGCTGGGGTCTCGGGACGAAAGTGTAAGGAGAGCAGAGTCCAGACGGGAAGTCAGGACTCAGAGCGGTCGGTGCACAAACACGCCCTGGGCTGCAGGCACCCGACCGAAGGGAAGCCCAGACAGCGAAGCTGGGCCCACAAGGCAGGTCTGGTGAGGGAGGGGGGACGGGCGGGGCTAGGGGCTGAGTTCGGCGTGGAAGTCAGGGCACGGTGCGGGGAGAGCTTCAGGTGGAGAAAAGGGCAGGAACCAGGGACCCGGCCTCCCCGTCGCCGAGGGCCCGCCAGGAGCAGGGTGAGGACCCAGACAAACCGGGGCTCTGCAGTGACCTGGGGGGACTCGCTGCTGTGGTCACAGGGAGCCCCGTGGGCTTAGGTGGGTGACTCACACGGAGGGGTCGGGGGATAGCAGTCCCTCTGCCGTTCTCTACAAGGAAGGGCCGGGGCTGAGAGGGCCAGGTGGTGATGGAGGCACCTGCCTCCGCACTGCTCTCCTCAGGCTGGGGGCTAGCCCTCCTCGGGTCTGGGAACTAGTCAGTCCTCCCCTGTTCTGGGAACTAGTCAGTCCTCCTCTGGTCTGGGAACTAGTCAGTCCTCCTCTGGTCTGGGAACTAGTTAAGTCTTCCTTTGGTCTGGGAACTAGTTAGTCCTCCTCTGGTCTGGGAACTAGTGAGTCCTCCCCTGTTCTGGGAACTAGTTAGTCCTCCCCTGTTCTGAGAACTAGTTAGTCCCCCTCTGGTCTGGGAACTAGTCAGTCCTCCTGTGGTCTGGGAACTAGTTAGTCCTCCTCTGTTCTGGGAACTAGTCAGTCCTCCTCTGTTCTGGGAACTAGTCAGTCCTCCTCTGTTCTGGGAACTGGTCAGTCCTCCTCTGGTCTGGGAACTAGTCAGTCCTCCTCTGGTCTGGGAACTAGTCAGTCCTCCTCTGGTCTGGGAACTAGTTAAGTCTTCCTTTGGTCTGGGAACTAGTCAGTCCTCCTCTGGTCTGGGAACTAGTCAGTCCTCCCCTGTTCTGGGAACTAGTGAGTCCTCCCCTGTTCTGGGAACTAGTGAGTCCTCCTCTGGTCTGGGAACTAGTTAAGTCTTCCTTTGGTCTGGGAACTAGTCAGTCCTCCTCTGGTCTGGGAACTAGTCAGTCCTCCCCTGTTCTGGGAACTAGTGAGTCCTCCCCTGTTCTGGGAACTAGTGAGTCCTCCTCTGGTCTGGGAACTAGTTAAGTCTTCCTTTGGTCTGGGAACTAGTCAGTCCTCCTCTGGTCTGGGAACTAGTCAGTCCTCCTCTGGTCTGGGAACTAGTTAGTCCTCCTCTGGTCTGGGAACTAGTCCTCCTCGGGTCTGGAAGCTGGGAGGGGCTGTGGGGAGGCCGCATCCATCCCCAGTGTGACCCAGCACCGTCCCCTCTGTGTCCCCTCTGCCAGCTCCCGTCCAGGTCCCAGAAGCTGGTGGGCAGGAAGGATGCAGGGCCACAGATCCGGCCAAGACCCCACCTTGAAGAGCTGGACCCCGATGCAGGCGAACATGAACTGGAGCAGCGTGGTGACGATCACGATGTTCCCGATGGTGCGGATGGCCACGAACACGCACTGCACCACGTGCTGCAGGTGGACAGAGGGCGTCGGGTCCGGGAACTTGGCTGAGCCCCCTTTGACACGAGCCTCTCAGAGGAGGTGCAGGCAGCCCTTTGCCATGAGCGGGGGAATCAGACTCAAAGTGAGCGTCCTCCTAGGTCACGGGGTGATGGAGCCTGGTGAAACCCGCGTCCCACTGGGCTCTAGGAGACCATAGGGACCAAAGCCCTGCTGACCTCCCACGTTCCGGGGGCAGCAATTCAGGGGTCTCATCACCATCTGGGGCTCGGGGTAGTGTGTGTGTCTCCTTTTGCAAAAGCTCTGCTGAGAAGCTGGGATTGTGAACGGGGGCCTCTGCTGTGGCTCCGTGTATCACGGACCCGGGATGGGAAGTGGGGCTGAGGTGCTGGCAGGAGGGTCCCGGCTCCGACCCGGGAGGCTGACTGCTGGCCCTGTCTCCCGCCTGCCCGTCACCTCACGTGGACCCCCAGGCTGAGGCTCCCGCCCAGCTCACCTTCAGCCCCTTGGCCCTGTTGATGGCCCTCAGGGGCCTCAGCACCCTCAGGACCCGCAAGATCTTCACCACGTTGATGGCACTGGACCTGGGAGAGAGGACGGGCGGGGGTGAGCCTCTCCTGCCCCTGGTCCGGCAGCGGCGGAGGGTGAGCCGCTTCCTGGCAGGAAGTCCCAGCCCAAATGGAGAAACTGGGGCGTCCGCTGGGGACTTTCTCGCCCCAGCACCATTTCCCGCTCTCTTCTCCCACTGCAGGGACCCAGAGCTGGCCGGGGAGCCGGGGACTTTCTTGTTGGTGAGCAAATCATGGGAAAAGCGTTTACCATGAGCCATTAGCAGTATCATGTGCTACTCGGGGGCTGTTTACCGCGCCGAGGACACGGAGGGCGAGGCAAAGCTCCACCAAGCCCCGGCCACTGAGGACACACCTGCTGACTGTGCTGGGCCCTTCTTTCTTCACCTGTAAAACGGGGCAGCGACCACCTCACGAGCTTGTTGCAAGGATTAAATGAGAAAACGCACACGAACCATCTAGCAGCCTAATTGGCACATGTTGTGATGTGAATACATGGTGGCTTTTATTATCATGGACTTGAAGAAATACTGTACGAATGGTGGGACTTTGGGTGGAGGAGATACCTGGTGCTCACCTGCAGACCCAAGTCCCAGGTGGCTGCCCATCACGCTCACTGTGTGCACAGCACACCCAGGCCTAGAGGCAACGGCTCCGACACCACAGACTCCGTGCACCTGGGATGCCAGGGCCCTGCCGGCTCCCCTGGGAGCACAGGCCACTGCTGCCCTCCGCAGGGGCATGCAGGCCCCTCGCCCCGGCCGGCTGGCAGGCGCTCTGAAGAGTCCCTCTCCCACCCACTAGCCACCCTTGGAGAGACCTTTACCCTCCTTGGGACCTAAAACATGCGGGGCCATCAGCAAGCGCTGACCTCACTCCTCCCGTGTCAGCACGCCGTCCGCTGAGAGTGGGATGGGGGAAAGTCCTATGTCTCTGGTTCACGACTCTCTGATCACGAGGGACTCAAAGGGCTGCCCGATCCATCCCAGCATCTCAGGGACAATGGGAGGGATGGAAAGGCCAGACTGAGGGGGGAATTCTTGGCTCAAGGTTAAGAGTGATTTAGTGGCAGTGATGGGATTAGACCCACAGGCTCACAGGCAGACAGCCTGGGGTGAAATAACGATGATCCCAGCAAAGGGTCTCACTCTGAATGCCTCCACCTCTGCTCCTTCTAGGCCAACCACGGGGACAGCCTCGGGACGGAGCCCCAGATGCCTCTGCTCTGCCACTGGGGTGACCCGGGCCGAGTCCCAGGTCCTGACCTCAGTTTTTCTGTCTAGGAAACAGCGATAACATCACTGGCCCTGCCTGCCTCATGGGTCCCATGAGGGTCAGAGAGGAATGTGTACGGAAAGTGCTTTGGAAGTTAAGTACAGGGTTAGCATTATCAGCTGGTAGAATTCGGGAGAAACTAGTAATGAGATCCTTTTAAACCTGAGCACGTTCACAGCCTTGGTTGCAGGTGGGATTGTCCGGAGAGCGTTTAAAATCCCTCAGGCCCTGGCTGTAGCCCAGACCAATTAAGTCAAAGCTTGGGGGGTGGGAGGGGTCCGGGCAAAGGTCCCGTTTTAAAGCTGCTCCGGTGATTCCCCTGCGCAGCCAGGAGTGAGGACCAGTCCTTCCTCCCCCTCCCTCCCTCATCAGGGGCTCTGACTGGAGACCGGAGAGGAAGGGGCGGGGG